TTCATACACCCGCCGGATTCTTAATTTTCCGGCGACTCGTCCCGGCGATTCGGTATCCTTTCACACCCTTCTCACCTCGTTAATCGGCCTAAGCCGCTCGATATGCACCTTGAAGTCGAAACCCATATTCACAAACCGGAAAAACGCGAGAACCTCGATTCGCTTAGTACAAAATCTCCTCCTATTTTTCGAAGATATTCGACAGGACAAAAAAGATCTCACCTTTACAGAGTCCTCTGTTTTGTTATCTCTATCCGAGCTTCATTTCACTCTGCAGAAGCTCGATTTCTTGTTACAAGACTGCAGCCGCGAAAATTCAAGGCTATGGCTGTTAATGCATTCGGAAAAAGTCTCGTTTCACTTTCACAACCTCGTTCGAAATATCGCCGTGGCTTTGGATGTTTTGCCTTTATCTGCACTCGAAATTCCCGATGAAGCTCGAGAGCTGGCGGAGCTCGTGAGGCACCGGGCTCGGATCGCGGTCTTCGAGATGGAAGACGAAGATAAACGGGCCGCGGGCTTGGTTTTGCGAATTATCGGGTATTTCGAATCAGGGGTCGCCCCGGAATCTGGTGACCCTGGTGACCTGAAACGAGTTCTCGATTATTTGGGAATCGGGACGTGGAGCGAGTGTGATAACGAAATAAGGTTCTTGGAAAGTCTAACGGGCCCGGAATTTGGCGGGAAAAAGGACGAGGCCCGATTCATTTGCGACTTAATCGCGTTCTTGATTTGTTGCAGGTGCATTGCATTAAAAAATGTGGGGGGAGGTTTTTCTGAAAATAGTGTTGCGGCACGCAGATTAGATTTTCAGGTCGCGGGTTTTTCGAATATCGACGACTTCACGTGCCCGATTTCCTTGGAAATCATGGGCGATCCAGTGACAATCCAGACTGGCCACACGTACGACCGGAAATCCATCACCAAATGGTTCGAATCCGGCAACCGCACGTGCCCCAAAACCGGGGAGCGGCTGGTTTCGCTGGAACTCGTCCCGAACCTCGCTCTAAAGCGGCTGATCACGCAGTGGTGCCAAGAAAACGGGGTACCGTTCCCCGGGGGGCGTTTTTGTAATTCGGCGAAACCACTCGATTTTGCCTCGGGAAGTCCCGCGGCCGAGCGGGCAGCGGGGATCGTCACCCATTTTCTCGCCGGGAAATTATTCACCGGAAGAGACGACGAGCGGGGGAAGGCGTGCCAGGAGATTCGACTCCTGACCAAGACGAGCATTTTTTGCAGGTCTCGTCTGGTCGAGGCCAACGCAATCCCGGGCCTCTTGGATTCGATTCGTCACAAAGAAAATCCGGAGGCAGAGGAAAATGCGGTAGCCGCACTACTGAATCTCTCGAAGCTTGCCGAGGGTAAGAAAGCAATCGTCGAAAATCGAGGAGTGGACAATATCATCCAAGTCTTGAATGGAGGGGCGAAAATGGAAACCCGGGCCCATGCGGCCGGGGTTTTATTCTATCTCTCGTCTGACAAGAGGTGCCGGGAGACGATAAACCGGCATCCAGGCTCTGTCGTGGGCCTCGTTGGGTTGATCCGTGCCGGGTCGGGCCAGTGGAGGAGGAATGGTTTGGCGGCAGCCTTGGTTCTCCTGGTGGGCCCGGAGAGCCACCGGAGGTTCCTATCGGCCGGATTGGGCCTCACGTTAGTCAATGTGCTGACCGAGGCAAGCGGCAAGGAGGATGACGTGGCGGATTTGCTGTCGGTTTTGGCAGTTTTGGCGGAGAAACCCGAAGGGGCCAAGGCGATTATTAGTGCCGGGGGCCTGCCGATAATTATCAAGATTTTGGGGTCGCCTAGCGATTATTGCATCTCGAGGTCCACGAAAGAGTGCTGCGTTTCGGTGCTGCTGGCTCTGTGCACCCAAGGTGGGTCGGATGTGGTCCCCGTTTTAGCAAGGGACTCGTCGGTTATGACGGGCTTGTACTCGATTCTTGCGGGCGGGTCGTGTGGGCCCAGCAGGAAAGCGGGCTTGTTGATCGGGATCTTGCACGCGTTTGGAGAGACGAGACTGTCGGGCTCGAGCTCGGGCTCATCCATTGGACCGGGCATTGGGCCCGAGCAATTTGTTCATGTGTGGTGATTGAGGTTTTTTGTGACCTAACTGTCTGTTTGTGTAGATATTATTACACAGGGTGCTTCTGGTTTTTTTTATGAAGCATTCAATGTGACAATGAGTTCATGTGATTGATTGTTTGTGATGAGAGCTCGCATTTTTTTAGAGCAGAATCACGGTTATGTGCTTCTTATTTTTTATGAAGCAGTTTGTTGTATTATTGTAATGGTTCTTTCTTTTAAGATCAAGGAATGAAAATGTTAATACTATTGTGAATTTCATGGCTTTGTTTTCATTTAAGAAATGCTTCTTGTGTAGTTAGTTGCAGATTAAGATACTGAATATACTCCATATTTTGCTCACACACAAATGAGCTCTTATCGAACACAAACAAACTCGCAGAAGTTTTTGATCACGAACGTTCAGTTCGTTTACAACCGTACTGTTGGTTGACAAGTCAACCTGCCATACTCTTTAAATTAAAATGTCAACTAATGCTACAGGAGGTCATGATGTTTTTCAAAGCGTAACATCTATATATATATAATTGCTGGCAGATGCATTAAATAAAACATTTAATAAAATCTTCACAATTTTCCCGCTCATTTTTTCAATTAATGTAGAAACATTACATTTAACATTAATAAAGTGTAATAACAATTCTAAACTAATTTATTATATAATATTACTACTAACACTAACTGATTATAATTTACATTAAATAGATGTGGAAGTTACATACTTATAAAAATTGGATTGCAAATTTTTTTCTTTAATATAGTTTTTTCTAAAATAAAATAATTATTGTCTTTTATCTAATATTAATTAATTGGCATGAGTGTCATAGTTAAACACCTTAAAATCATTTAGACAATTGCTATAACAATGATAAAAATATTTGTATTACTTTTCTAACTAATTAAATGTATGATCCCTCTATTACTAAATTATATTGTCCATTAAAATTTATGGCATCAATATAAATATTCATACGTAAGTTAAATAATTTATATTTGCATTACACATTTGCATATAGTCAAAATTTAAAATGCAATACATCCATTATCTAATATAAAATTTTATATATTGTATGCATACATATAATATATATATATATATATATATATATTTTGTGCATGTGCACAGGATGAATACTAATTTTAATTCAAAAGTATACATAGTTGGCTCCATAGTAGAGCCAACCTTCTATATACAACAAGTAACCTACCATATTCTATAATTAATTAAATAACATTAATATAAATTTATTAATATGGTAGATTTATTTGTTGTATATAGAAAATTGACTCCACTATGAAACCAATTGTTGGCTTCATAGCAAAACCGTGTTGCTTGATTAACGATATTAGGTTAGTCTAACAACTTACAAAACTCACAATAAAGTTTGTCATAACATCCATTTATATTATAACCAATAATGTACTCAACCCCACCTTTTGCATTATTCATAATAACACCAATCTCTTACCAACACACACTAAATACCATAAACTTCAATCCAACACTCAAAGCCACAACACAATCAAGTGAAAAACCTCATAAATAATCTTATCCTCTTTTCAAGGAATTGGATATATGACCACCTTCCCAATGGCCCGACCCGTTTCCAGATAAGCAAACGCCTCGTTCACCTTGTCAAACGGGAAAGGACCCTTTGGGTCGAGAACAAGCTTCACCTTACCACTCTCGATATACGGTTTAAGTGTCTTCAAGAACTCTCCATTGGAAGTTAATATAAACAAAGGAACCTGTGGTGTAGGTGCACCAGCTATCGTGATAACGGTGCCTCCTTCTTTCACCGCCTTCACAGCCCTCTCAGTTTCGCCTTTAAATCATTTTCAGACAAAATCGAGTTTATTAATAAAAGCTTCAATTTTCGAATAACCAAAAAAAAAAAATGGACATGGCCATTACCTTTTGGCCTGACTGAAAAATAATCCAATCACAAAACTAAATCTTATTTCAAGCTATATAGCATATAAGAGTGAGGTTATCTTACCAACAGCATCATAAACAAAGTCAAATTTCTCAGGCAGGTCCTCATACTTCTCCTTAGTGTAGTCAATTGCCAAATCGGCCCCCAAACTTTTTAGAAACTCCAACTTCGACGTGCTGGCTGTAGCTGCAATCTTAGACGCACCAAAAACGTGTTTGGCAATCTGGATTAAATCAATGAATAAATTCTCATAAGTTCAAAGCTATGGCTGCATCTCAATTAAGCATTTGCATAGAATTATCAATATAAATGAATAATGAACACAAAGAGATCCTCACAAAATCTCTCTTTATTAATTTAAACTTTACTTGAATGATGAATGACCCAACACCACCGGCTCCGCCGAGTACAAGTAATGATTTGCCCTTAGAAAAACCGTACTTTCCGAGCCCTTCATAAGCTGTCTCAAGGGCAAGAGGCAAGGCAGCGGCTTGCACAAAATCGAGATTCTTGGGCTTATGAGCTAAAAGCTTCTCTTGAGCGGTTGTGTACTCGGCTAAGGAGCCGAGCTGTTTTGGCTCGGCGATTGCCTTCTCGATAATGTCACCATAAACTTCATCTCCTTCTTTAAATTCCTTCACATTCCTCCCTACTTTAACTACAATGCCAGCCACATCATATCCGGGAATAGTCTGCAAATAATAAATAAATAAATTGAAATGCGCAAAGCACAATTGCCACTTCAATATTTACGGGGGGAGAACATGCATTAAGAAAAAGAAGATAAAGAAATGCAAATGATAAGAGACTTCATTTTTTTACTAAGAAAAATTGAATAGATGAACACGAATGACCGTGAGTTTACTTCTATACACATTCGAGCAACAACTCAAGAATCCAAAACAAGAATAAATTGGGTTATGAATAGATTGGTCTTTTTCAAAGCAACTTGACCAACCCACTTGAGTTTTGCTCAAAAGCTACGATTTTCCGGCAAATTTCTAACCCAAATCGAAACATTTTGTACATGTTTCCAAATCACTACCGGATATTTAAGCATCATCCAATATACTGCCAAAAGATTGAAATATGACTCGTGAATTGTCCCACATTAATTCGGTAGAGAAAATGATATAAGCCAAGTGGACTACTCTTCTAATCACCAATTGATTTTAAAATGGAACCTCACTATACTATGTGCATCTAGGCTTCATCTGGTGGAACCGCACCCTCTTCCTCCATTCTAATAAAAACCCAAACACCCCAGGAATTTAATTGAAAAATTGGAACTTGACTAGCAGCAACACATGCCCAAGAAATTCAATAATAAAGAAGAAAACGAATAAAATAGGGAAAAAAAAAAGAAAGTGGAGGGCTCACAGGGAAAGGCGAATCATTAGCCTTGAAATATCCGAATCTCCTCTTGAAATCAACTGGGTTCAAGGCGGCGGCGACAACCTTAATCAAGACCTCATCGTCCTTAACCTCCGGCACCGCCACGTCGGACACGGGCTTCAGAACCTCAACGCCGCCGTACTCGCTGTAACTCCACGCCTTCATTTTCGCCAAGGCTGAATTTTTTTTCAACCTATTTTTCTTCGGAAAGCTTTTTTGGTGCTACTAGGGCTCATCGCTTAGGCCAATTTATACTGATTTTGGAGGTAAAGCTCGAGTCTTCTAGGTGGCGAAGTTCTAGCGAGTGCGAATTAATTACTGTTTTGCCCTTGAATCTTTTATATGTCATAGGTGACGTCCTAGCTTTCAATAATGGTCCAACTATGATGAATTTTAGTCAAAGATAAAGTCGATTGGTTGTATCCCTGTCGAGTTCT